GAGGGTGAAGGTGCATGAGGTACGCAGGATGGCCCCTGACATCCCACAGACATAGGCTCCCACCACCAAACTCCAGCAGACTCTGGGGTTCATGGCCACAGGGTAGAGCAGTGGCTTGCTAATAGCTACGTAGCGGTCATAGGCCATCACTGCCAGCAGGAAACACTCAGTAGCTGCACAAACAGTGAAGAAAAGGAACTGGGCAGCACATTGGCTATAGGAGATGACCATCTTCCCTTTGGCCAATGTGGCCAGGATCTGAGGGATGATGACGGAGGTGTAGCAGGCATCCAGCAGGGAGAGGTGTCTCAGGAAGAAGTACATTGGAGTCTGGAGTTGCACATCCACTTGGATCAGAATGATCATCCCCACATTCCCCAGAAGCGTGACCAGATAGAAACTCAGAAACATCAGAAACAGGGGAATCTCCAACTTGGTGTAGTCAGTAAAGCCCATGAGAATGAACTCGTTTACTGTAGTGAGATTATTCTTGGCCATGGATTCAATGTGGACTATTGATCTGAGGATGAGAATGAAATTTAAAACATTCCCAGAATAGAAGGACAGATTCTTTCTCTCTATGATAAAAGTTAGGTTTATATTTCTGGGCCAAATTATAGAGCTTGTTTTTGAGAAATCCTTTACCTGGCTGATTCTCCTTGGGCATCTATGTTCTTCTCCTGCATTTTTTGGAGCTGAGCCATGAGCTGGTGTTACAGATTCAGATTAATTCTGGTTTATATTTGGAAATTTCTGTGAAGATAAGAGACACACAGACTCTCAGATTTGGAAGGAGTCTAGTCAGCATGTGTTCTTATCCCCATCGGATGCTGGAGTCTCCTCAACTGCATACTCTCCATGTGTATCCAGCTATATGAGTCTCCCTCGTTGGACAGTTCTACCTGTTAATTCTCTTTTGGGATCTGGATTCTCTCCCTTTATCTTCCACACATTGGCTTTAGTTTTACCTCTTCCAGACACAACCATTTTAATCCCTTCTTCTCATGAAAGCCTTTCAGAAGTGGGAAGAAGATGAATCTGCTCTTTATGTTGATTCCCTCAAATTACCCATTGATACCTTTTGTCTTATTGTATAATTATATACAATTATGATTATTCAGCATGCGATCTAGAAATTGTTTAGTCAAATGGTATTAAAAGAGGCTGTTTCAGGGTACAAACTTGTAACAAGTAGATATAAGTTTGGGAGATCTGATGTACGGCATAGTGATTACAGTTAACAATACTGTAATATAAACTTCAAAGTTGCTGAGAGACTAGTTCTTAATCGTTTTCATCACAAAGAAGACATGATAATTATGGGACCTGCTGGAGATGTTAGCTAATGCTATGGTGGTAATCATATTGCAGTATAGAAATGCATCGAACCAACTCGTTGTACAGGTTAAACTTACACAATGTTATATGTCAGTTATATCTCAGTATTTTAAAAAAAGATAACTAAAGTCTTTCTTTCCACTTTAATCTTTACTGCTTTAATCTTGGGTCAGAGGTCTCCTCCAGCTCTAATCAAGGTTCACTAGTGGGAGGGAGGCACTGACATATATAAAACGTGGCCTCCTAGCACTATTCTCTCCACCCCACCCCAGCAGCACAGTCTGGGGATGAGTTAGCTTCTTTGGAAGGCTCTTTTGGTATGGTCAACACTATGGTTACCATCTCTAGGACAGATACTGACTAGCTGAGTAACCTTCAAAAGTTCAGTTCCCCTCCTTGGGCTTTACTTTCTGTTATGAAAAAATGTTTGGGCTAGATTATATGACCATTAAAGTTCTTTTGTCTCTCACAATCCGTGAATTGTATGCCTAGGTATATGGGTGAAATGAGGCTCTTGAAAGGATTTTCCTAATACTTGTATTATTAGAAACGTGCATACTATTTAGCTACTCATTACTGAGTATATAAAACATGTAGGCTCTACTTCAAGTGATCAGAGTTACTCAAACATAATATATGGGATCTCGAGTCCAAAACTGTGTTAATCACACTCTTCAGTTCCTGATAAAACATCATTATAGATCAGGGCAAGGCCCTTCTGCATTTTATTTTATTATTTTCCTTCCTTCTCTCTCCAGCCCCACTCCTTCTGCTGCTCCTCACAGGTGTCAGCTCTAGTGTATGAGAAATATATTTCTTTCCATGTTTATTCCTTAATATCTATTTAGAAATATGTGTATCTTAAAAAATATAGTCATTTTGGCATTTTAAAGTTTACATACATGCTATAAATTCCATTTTGTTTCTTTTCCCACACACACTATATTTTTATGATTTGTCCATGTTATGGAGGGAAATCTAGTTTGTTATTTCTGATTTTGTTATGGTCTTCCTTGGAATGTTCACAGCACATTTTATTTATCCATTCCTCTAAACACTTTGAGGCTTTGCATATATTATCTTATTTAATCCTGGAAATAGCCTTTCAGCAGATATTCTTACTTATTTTTTACCAATGAGAAATTTGAACATCTGGGAGATGAATTTGTCTGGGGTCACTCAGTTTAATAAGTGGAGATCCAGATTCCCAACACAGGTGGTTTGTTGGCAAATTCCGTGCTTTTTACTATGAATATTTTGCTGCCTACCTGCATTTTACTGCATCTTTATGATTTATGGAATCAAAGAAATCTCCCTGCAGTCCTTTGGATGATCAGATCCTTCCTACTTTAAAATCATGAGAAAACTTGGCTAATTTCAATATCTTTCTCAACATCTAATTCTGAAATTTTCTTAGTCCGTTTTCTGCCCATCTCATTGTGAGGTCCCAGAGTTCCCTCTGATTTATGGACAAAATTGTTCAATGCACACAATTAGAAATTAGGTGGCAGTTCATTGGGGTACAGGTGCAGCCACACTGGGTTTGTGCCACATGCATGCCAGGCCCACCTCATACATTAGGTCTAATCCTTCCAGGAGCCCTGCAAGTTGGGTATAGCAATGATTATTTTATGGATGAGCAAAGCGAGGCTCAGAGGGGTTAAGAAAGTTTCCAAGCTTGCCACACATTGGGAAGAAACAGAATCAACATTTGAATCTGGGACTTTCTAACTCCAAATTCTATTCTCTTTTCACCACATCATACTGTCCTCTTTAGGGGAAGAGAATTACCTTTTCTGCAGACTCAAGTCTCAACTTTTAAAATCATAGCCCCTCTAAGACAATTCGGCAAATAATCAACTTCCGTGGCAGGAGAGGATTGTTTGATTTTGGAGTTCTTTGGTGGTCCATGTCTTTTCTTATTCTTCCTACATTTTAGGTTAAGACATGTTTAGTTGGGTCATATCCAGTTTTATATGCTCTGGGGAGAATTGCTTAACCAGTGAGAATCTCAATTTTCTCAGTAACAAAATGGGAACATAATAAGGACTTTTGAAAACTTAGAATGGATTTTTGTCTAATGTGGTAGAGTGTGCTTATTTTCTAGAAAGGCAATTTCCAGAATATTTCCCAGAAGGAAAAATTTCAGGACCAGGCTGGCGAAACCCAGTTTTGTACAATCTTATTTACGAATGGGTTTGGGGTACCAGCAGCTTGGATTGGGCCCAGAGTGGAGGGCAGCAACAGACTCCCTGAACCCAGAACAGTTTACAAGAGGGAAAGCAAAGGTTTATGGCCAGTAGACATTTTAAGAAGGCCTAGGGACACTTATGGGTTGACATTATTACTTGCAATATGTTTTGGTCATAGTATGTAATGCATAAAATATGGGATTTCTGGAGGGGGTGGAGAAAGAGAGACAGTCTTACCAGGGGGGCAGCCTTCAGAAAAGAGATGGACCTTAAACCTTGTGCTTATTTTAACTTGGTAACTTGTCCCAAACTCTTCTTTCTCTTGCTTCTGTAGTTTGAATCCACTGTGGCGAATGAATGAGTTCAACACAGTTAACTCTCTCATCTTATGGGGATTGCTGTTTCAAAATATTATTGTCAACATTTGCTGACTCTTACCCTGAGTCAGGTAGCATACTAAGAACTGTAAAGCCTTATTTTGTTTCAACTTGACAATAGCATTAAGAGAGATGAATATTTATCTTTATTTACAGTTGAGGAAACTCAGGCTTAGAAGCATTATGTATTTTCCCTGAGGTTTCATAGCAAGAAAGAGAAGATGTTTAGATCTTAAGACTGGTCTCCCTGGCCCTAGAATTGGGTGCTGAACCACTATGTTGTGCTGCTTTTCCTAATACCGGTAGTTATTTACCGAGGATTGGCTCTGTGCTGATCAGGAGGTTAAACATTCTACGTACATTATCCCGTACAATTCTCACAATGATCCTATGAGAGAGGTATTATTTTGTCCTGGAGGAAATTGAGACTGTGAATAGTTAAGTAACTTGCCCACGGTCACATGACTAGTCAGTGAAAAAGTCCAGATTCTAACTCAGGTTTGTCTTATTCCAAAGCCAAAGCTCTAGCACATATGATTAATCCCCCCTCCAGCATCATTCCAGGAAGTACAGTGATTTATAGTGAAGTCTTACTGTAGGCCTCACCCCGGCCCCATGAAACTGTTTACAGTTCTAAAATTTACCTAGTAACACATAAGCCCAAGAAGATTACAGCTGTAGATCCCCCTCCCCCTAAAAAATGACCCAGTCTTACTTGTACATGCATACAAGAGCTGAAATCCCAACTTGCACAAGGTCCATTAAATAATTTCCAATGACAATGGCCCTAGTCTCTGCCATTTCACCTTCCCTGGTTTGAGCCAGTATCCTCTCAACATGACCAAGGTCACAATTACATCTTAATTACCTGGTGGAATAATCCAGCTAGATTCATCTCAGTTTTGGAATCAAACTAATCTAAGGTCATTGAAACATATTGTAGAAAGCAGCTAAAATGGCTCAAATAGATGAATGTAACTGACATATTTTAGGTTTCTTCTTAATAAGCAAACCAGTGGCATATTTAAAACTCTTTGGGGGATGGATTTGTGGGAGGGATGCAATGAGCACAAAGGTTGTCCTTGAATAATGAATCAGCTCCTGGGACAGCCCCCAGGGCTCCCAGGAAAAGCCGTCTTCTCAGGGAAAACACATTCTAGCAGGGGCTCGTTATCTCATCTTCTGCACATGTCTGAGAGCACAAAGACAAATCTTGTGGGATTTCATGGCAACTCCCGAGTCTTGTTAGTCTCAAAACTCATTTGCCATTTCTATAGGGAAAGCTCTTGGTTCCTCTTTGCCAGGGCCCCTCAATGTCCTGCTGTCCCAGTTAGTCAGTGGTGGTTCCAGGACTGGAACTCTGATCTGAGGACTCCTGGTGAGGTTCTCTTTACGCTGCATCCATCCTTAGACGTGATGGCAAGTCTCATCTCAGGGGCTGAAATGTCTGCTCAGAATCTTATCAGGAAGGATGATTCTTGGTTCAGGAGGGAATGAGGCTAGGGTGCTCTAAACATGCTTCATCTGACTCTATTCCCTGAGTAGCTTGTTACATCACCTTCCTTAAATATCCATTCTTAGAGCTTTTATA